TTAAGCAGAGAAAATTCCTATGCTTATGTCAATGCATATCCGTGCTTTCTGAAAAACATGTTTAAGACATTCATTTGATCATCACGGATGCTCTGGCAGATTATCAGTTTTAACCTTTTTGAACATGTAATGCTTGGGGACCATACTGTTTTGTGCAAATGGGAGGCACGTGCACCCAGACTCATGTGCAGATGTGCACATCTGTGAGCCTAGGTACGCTGGTGAAGCATTTTGCCCTCCTTTCATACACAGTAACACAACTAAGTTATATTTGCAGTGTGTCACAGTCAGATTTATAGTGTATGTATATACAGCTACAAATATGTAAACCGCCTGATGTGGCACTCCTGCATAACGCAAAGTGAAAGTTTCCCACATTGTTTCATTGACTTCTGGCTAATTTCCCCAATTAAATCTAAGATCATAAAATCATAGAATCATAGAATCCACCAGGTTGGAAAAGACCTCTGAGATCATCAAGTCTTGAACCAACACTGCTATGGTTACTTAGACCATGGCACCAAGTGCCACATCCAGTCTCATCTTAAAAACCTCCAGGGACGGTGAATCCACCACCTCCCTTGGCAGCCCATTCCAATGTCTGATTACTCTCTCCATAAAAAGTTTCTTCCTAATATCCAACCTAGATCTCCCTTGGCACAGGTTAAGACCATGCCCTCTTGTCCTACTGACAGTTGTCTGGGAGAAGAGACTGATGCCCACCTGGCTACAACTCTCCTTTCAGGGAGTTGTAGAGAGTGATGAAGTCTCCCCTGAGCCTCCTCTTCTCCAGGATAAACAACCCCAGCTCCCTCAGCCTCTTCTCATAGGACTTGTGCTCCAGTCCCTTCACCAGCCTAGTTGCCCTCCTCTGGAGCTGCTCCAGCACCTCAATATCCTTCCTGAACTTGAGGGGCCCAGAACTGGACACAGCACTCCAGGTGTGGCCTCACCAGCGCTGAGTACAGGGGAAGAATCACTTCCCTGGTCCTATTGGCCACACTGTTCCTGATCCAGGCCAGGATGCCCTTGGCCTTCTTGGCCACCTGGGCACACTGCTGGCTCATGTTCAGCTTCTTGTCAATCCAAACTCCCAGGTCCCTCTCTGCCTGGCTGCTCTCCAGCCACTCTGTGCCCAGCCTGTAGCACTGCAGGGGGTTGTTGTGGCCGAAGTCCAGGACCCAGCACTTGGCCTTGTTGAACCTCATCGCGTTGGAATCAACCCAACTCTCCAGTCTGTCCAGGTCCTTCTGGAGAGATCTCCTGCCTTCCAGCAGATCAATGCTCTCCCCCAACTTGGTGTCATCTGCAAATTTGCTAATGGTGGACTCAATCCCCTCATCCAGATCATCAGTAAAGATATTAAACAGGATTGGGCCCAACACTGATCCCTGGGCAATGCCACTAGTGCCCGACCACCAACTGGATGCAGCCCTGTTCACCACCACTCTCTGGGCCCGGCCATCAACCAGTTCTTAACCCAGCACAAAGTGTCCCTGTCCAAGCCATGGGCTCCCAGCTTTTTCAGAAGAATGCCATGGGAGACGGTGTAAAGATCTTGCACAGTAATGAAAGGCAGGACTTCCAGTGAGCTCATCTTCCACTACCTTGTTACACAAGAACAGAACTGTGTTTATTTCTGTTAAAAATACCGTACAAAATAGCTTAGAAAAAATTGATGAATGAAACAAAAATACATCTATTTTCGTAAGTACAGACACAGTGCTGTATTTATGTATTTAGAAGAGAAAATGAATGTTATTCTTAAAATTTAAGAAGATTAAGTTCTACCAAGAACATATACCATTAAAATTAGAGCACTATATTTTCTCTTTTATGTGGTCTGCAACATTTTTTCTCTTTAGGCATATCAGCATAGAATAATTTCTATTAAGACTGAAGGATTCATAGAATAATGAACTTTTAGGTTTTTAGTGTTTTAGTTGGTGAATATTTTGAGGCATGTGGTAGTGTAAATAAAAAAGATTTTATTTTGCAAATTAATTAACTTTACAACAATATCCAGTAACACTGACATTTGCAGTGTAATAGGCAATTTTAATGTTCTTTTGTAAAAACCTGGACTTCTCAATCTTGTTGCATACAGACGTGTGGTGAATATCTGCTGATATTTTGAGGTCTCACAGTGCATTACATTTTCATCTACAAGTAGCTTTACTGATCTTAAATGAAACCATGTCATGAATTTGAAGGTCTAGCTGGTGTGCTAGCCACTCAAAATACCAAGTACAAATATGCTCACAGTTAGTAATTGTTACAAACAGTAAGTTTTTAGACTACATTTCAGTTAATTACATTTCTCTAATAAACAGCATATCCAAACCTCTGTGAGAGAACATAATTGCAGTTTGCCATAGTTAACAGCAGATAATTTAATATTATTTTCACTGGAGTTAAAATAAAAATGAGGAGAAAAGCTTGCTAAATTGCTCTATCAGTTGGCTGATTAGATTATTGAAGTAATTAGACTCAGTAATCAAACTCATTTGCAGAAAGCAGCCCAATACTTGAGACATTATAGTCTCAATTGTTATCTGTAGGGAATGGAAAAATAACGTGTAAAATATCTACAGAAAGACTTTTATTCCTTTGACATAAATAATTTGCATTAAGGTAAGGCAGTCTTACATGCATGCACATATATGAGATATGCATTAAAAACCTGAAGCTTTAAAAAGTAATGTGCTAGTAAAATATTTGATTTTTAAAATATTTTGTTCAAATTCGTACCAGTTCACACTGCTCTCAGGAGTCCAAGGAAATATTAATAACACTACAGAAATAAAAAGAATTTGTCACTCTCATTTAAATTGATGTATGCTCCTGTCCTATTAATGTCACATTAGATAATCCTGAAAAATTACCATGAATTTCCATACTTATGCATATTCATGGGGGTGTTTTGCATAACACTAACAGCAATTTGCAGGACGGGTCTAAGAGGGGAGGGGGCTGATTAAAGACTGCATGATTTAGAGGACTAAAATTGTTACCAGCAACCTAGAAATAGACTCAGCAACAGTTCTATTTCCTTTGGTTTACAATACCAAAACAATGTGTCTTGCACCACTCTTTTGATGCTTCCAATATGCTGGCAGTTTTGTGCACCATACTTAGCCAAAAAAATTTTATTAATGGCAGTTGTAAAGAAAACTGGGAATGAGAAACCAGAGGAGTGCTTCTTCAAAATTGCCTTTTTTTTGTGGAGGCTAGAAGGGTTATGCTTCCAGCACCTGTTCACCTGACCCAGGTGAGCCTGTTGCAGATTCAAGTGCATCCTCACTTCTGCACCTAAGATGAGGCCCAGGCAATATTCAAGCAAACTGTAAAAAGACCAGGAGAGACAGAAAGGTTGTCCTGCCTCTGCTCAATAACCTTTTATGCTGAAAGTGGAGAGCAGAGATAATCAGAGCCTCTAGAAGTAATTATTGGCAGGGTTTGGGCAGCACGGATGCTTGGATAAACAGCTATTGTTCTTTCCACCAGATTCCCAATAGAAACAACAATACTGGCATTGTCCTCCACTTCTCATTAAGGGGCTTTGGAGAGGGAGCTGAGTGTAGGGAGTAGGGTGGGAAACTGACAGTCAGACCGTGCTCCATAGGAGCCTCTCCTGATCCTGCTGCAGCAGGCTCTGGCTTTTGGCATCAGTGGTGCCAGCTGCATGGGGAGAAGCCAAACATGTCATATCATCTTCTCATCAAACCTTCAGTGCGGGGGCAGAAGTGCCGTTAGAGCCTAATGAAGAAACAAACACAAAAGAGAAGCCTAGGGCTCTTACACACACACATTCGTTTGCCCCCAATGAGATCCCGCCACAGAATGTTTCATTTCTGGTTTTTTTTGTGTTTTGGTTTTTGTTTTGTTTTGGGGGTTTTTTTGTGAGTGTGTTTGTTTGTTTGTTTGTTTTGGGTTTTGTTTTGTTGGTTTGGTTTGGGGGTTCTTTGGTTTGGGTTTGTGTTTTTTTCTATTTTTTTTTAGGGAGAGAGCACAACATGGGCGAGATGGTGTTGCCTGTTTTTTTTTTTAAACATCATGTCATGACCACGCAGTGGTAACCTGGGAAATTGCAATTGACTAAAATTGCATTTGCAAATACTCTGTTCAGTAGCCACAGAATCCATGAGCCTGTGCTTTCAAAACACTGATATTGTCAGTATTGCACCACTCCCATCCAAAATGTTCCCTTACACACTCTACTAACATGATTGCATGCTTTTGGATGAAAATTGTATTCATTTTTGTGTGTTGCTAAGCTCAATCTGCTCTTCATGATCAACATCAACAAGTAATGGCCCCAAGTTACTCCTAAACTGGGTTCCAAGCTCTTCTCCCTGAATGATGATCTCTTCCATAAGCCACTCCATCAATCCCATCAGTGCTTCTCTTGGGGCCAAAGGCTGCACACCATAAGCACAGGAGTCAAAAAGTAGTAAGGAGTTAGACTCAGTCTTGTGGGTCCTTCCAGTGCAGGACATTCTATGATTCTAATTCTCCAGTCCCGCTTTGTCCTTCTGTGTTCAGAGCAAGGCAGTCTTAATCAGGATCCTGACCCAAAAACATTTTGCATATCCTATTTGTGGTGGAGCCAACAGAATTTTTGTGCTTGCAGCTTGAAGAATTAAAGCCCTGGTCTGCAAGTCTCTAAACTACACTGTCTGCTGGAAAGGCTGGTATTAAATAATGTAAATCTGTGTAAGATGCCTTGTAGAATTATATCCTCAGCAAGGACTTGGGATTTGGCCCTCTATCAGGCATTCTTAAGTGTAAAGGTACACCTAAACCTGTGAGAATTTGTGTGCTTGAACGTATATTACCAGAAAAATTAACTGAGGGAAAACATACATACAGCTTTTTGTTGAATTTATATTACTAGATAATTTGGAGGCTGGAGGTTATTCAAATGTTTATTTATAAGGTATTAACATACAGACAACTATGTGTGTACATAAAAATATTTCTATTTTGTGTTTTCATAGTTGGGGATGTGTGAAAGGAAGCCAAACACTGGAAGCAGTTCTCAAGTGTTTCTTGCAGAGACACGTACCTATTTACCTGAAAGTGGCCAGGAGGTTTGACAGGCATGATACTACAATTATTGTTATTGTAAGTAGTCAGTCATCTGCAGAAGGGTGTGCTCTTCACAGACCGAGTGCAAAGTTTCACTTTGTTTATGCCGCATTTAGCTGTCTGTCAACCATGGGATGCTTGTAGTCTGTTTTAAATGTTAGTATTCGAAAGAAGACAAGGGAATCTTAATTGAATGATCTGTTTGCCAAGCTGCAAGGCATGCACAGAACCTGTACAAGAGAGATCCATAATAAATCCCTATTCCCAAACCCTGGGTGCATGTTTGATGAAGGTAGACTCTTGCTATAAAACAACGATGCAGAAGGACCTACACAGCATTTCATGTAAGGAAGTATCTGATTGTTAAACAGGGACTTTACAAAACCAGAAATCCTTTATAGTTTCTGGTTTGTACAGCCAAATTTTGTGGAAGGATGAACTGAGAATTGTTTGCAAAGTTCAGTTCCTCTCAAAGTATGCTCTACTAGAGAATCAAAATGCATAAATATCTGAAGTATATAAAACATACATTTTATGAATGCTGGCACGTAACACCAAGTCCCCAACAGACTAAAATACTGTTTGCATGTTATATTAACCAAAACTTCAGTATGTTTTAATATTCTGACTCACTTCTGACTAGGTGGCAAGAAGAAAAAGTGTTTATGATGCACTTGAATTGCAAAGCAAGACCTATTTCACACGGTCTCCACCCTCTGGGATCTCAGTTAATATAAGCCCTATTTCATTTTCGCAATGTTCAGTATCATTACCACACATCATTAATTTAATTTCATTTCCCAAAAATTAAGAAGTACCTTTCTATTATGAGGCTTAGCATTACCTTTTCAACACATAATGGTCTAGTGTGATTTGTCAGTTGTTTTATGAAATAAAATGTCTTTCTTTGTGAAATGCTTCTGCAGATTCAGAGACCCCAGGCAAAAAAGTCCTGCTTTTAATAATAATCCTCATTATATTATTTGGCAAAGTGTTTACTAATCAGAAGCCCATTGCTCTGATTTTGTGCTATTTTTTGTGAGGCTGCTCATTCAGTACCAAAAATGTATGATTTTGTTGTGGTGGTAGTTGTTGTTAAACTGAGCAGCAGCCCTCCAGTTATTTTCAAGGAAGGGCAAAAAATTTAAGTAATGCTTCTAGTAGTGCAGTGGCATAAAGCCAATATTAGTGCAGTTTGCAACTACAAGAGCATATTTTTCTTTACACAAATAAGTGAACTTTGGAATAACAGAATCTAAGTTTGTTATCAATTACAGAATGGTTAAATAGGTTCTTAGAAGCATAGCTAATGTAAAAATGTATATGTGAGAATTATGCGAAGTACAGCTACACTGTTTCATAGGTGATTATTTGTCCCTTTAAGGGTTTGTGGTTACATATACAATTATAATATAAATAAAAACCAGCACCTGAAAGCACTTATGCTAACTACTTATGCTAACTACTACAGGTATGTCATAAGGTCCTAACATACATCAGTATCATATAGTACTTAAATATCCAGTCTGATGCCTGTATATAGTGCTATGTTTTATCTATTTCATTTAGATATGTGATTGTTGGTGCCAGATCGATACAGAGAATATCAAGATAACCACTTTTTTGAAAAAGTCTGTTGCTGGCCAGTCAGCAGTACTGCAGCCTTCAGACTCCAGGGATAACTAGCCCAAATTACGCTTTAAATAGCTTTTGAGAAAAATTAGACTACATATGCAAAGTCCTTTGAGGAGATTATTGAAACATTTTCAAAATAAATGTTGTGATAATGCCTCCCTTCTAGCACTATTTTATTTGAAGACAAAAAGATATGTTTCGAAATGTTTAAGAAATCAGAAAGTGCATATTTATGTATAAACACAAATATACATACTTCTATATGTACATGCTTGCTGTATCCAATATGTACACGTAGAACAACATGTAGAATATATATATACACATATTGGATAATATATAATATACATATTATATGCTGTTTCATATTATATTAAAATTTAAATATAAATATATAAAAATACATGTGTAGATATATATACATACATGTCTATTTCTGTATACACACTTAGTAAATTTAAATATAAATATAAGTACATTCGGCATCCTCAAACTTTTTATCTAAGTAAATTTTCATGTTTTTTATGTATCACTACACTATTACTATAAAAAAAGAATATGTAAAGTATAATATAAAAATATCAAGTATAATGTAAAACAAGAGACTCGTTCTTACAAAGCTTAAGGAAAAACACACTCAGCAACAGTTTATAAAGTTTGTGTTTTCATTTCTCCTTCTTTACTAGGAAAGATAATAAACTAAGCAGAATAAAAAGCTAGTAAAATATTGCTGTATTGTTTACAATTAATCATTTAATTTTGTTTTGAATATGCCATTTTTTTACTTAATTCTGTAGTATTCCTGTGAATAGCCTTCACCAGAACTACTTATTTAGTCAATGACACATAATTCAAGTGAAAATTGCAGAATTAGACTTTGAAAGGAATAATAAAAATACTAACAAAATCATCAGAGCAACTCTGCAAGATACTGAGTACTTTGAAGGTAATCTGACATGAACTCATGGGCAGGATGAACTTAGAGTGTTTTCTAAAAGTTGAGATATACACAGGTTTAGCTGCTTTGCTGAGTGAGAGAGAAAATGAACAGAACTTTGTTGCTCCGGTTTTTCGAGTTTTTTTGAGCAATATTTTTCCGTGTTGAGAATCACTCCTTAGAATAAGGAAAATCATTCAACAAATGTATAGGACCTAGATTTTGTTCTCAGCCCTGCCAGAGACTTCTTTGTGAGGAAGGTCTGTCAAATTCAATCTGATTGATTAGATTCATCCCCAGTGAAATAAATACAAACAGTAAAAATTATTTCTTATCTTGCACAACTGTAGAAGTGTTCAATTTGTTAGCACTTGGGCACTGTGTTAAAGTCCTCATGTAAGCAAGAGCATAGAGCTGGTGATTGGTGGTGGTTGGGAGGATATTGTGGGTGGACTCTGTGAACAGAGTGATACTGATATTATCCAGAGGAGTTCATCAGTCCAACTGGCTGCACAGGGTAGGTGAAGCACTAGATAGAGGGGGAAAAGGCACTGGACAGGCTGGACTTAGAATTATAGAATCACAGAATGGTTTGGGTTGGAAGGGACCTTAAGGCTTATCTGGTTCCAACTCACCTGCCATAGGCACGGACACCTTCCACAAGACCAGGTTACTCCAAGCCCAGTCCAGCAGGCCTTGAACCCTTCCAGGGATGGGGCATCCACAACTTCTCTGTGCAACCCGTTCCAGTGCCTCACTACCCTCTTAGTGAAGAATTTCTTCCTAATATACAATCTAAAACTACTCTCAGTTGCATTTATCCACTTCCAATGAGCTCAGGCAATGCAAGACAGAGTAGCAAACTCAAGCCACATCAGTGATGTGTTTTACAGAGCAAAGAATATATTAACTGATGTCCAAAGTAGAGTTGTTTTGCAGTTTCTTGAAGAAATTCAGTGTTTCTACCTGGGGGTGATATTTTGGAAATAGCTGCTTTTTAGTGTATTCCTCAGGCAAAACAATCACTTTTAATGAGCTAAGAATAAAAGTCAACCCTGTCAAAGTTGGTTTGGAAATTTACAGAGAGAGACATGAAATACTGGAGGTCACAATATCTTTCCAGCCCCCTTCAAATTTGGCACTGATACAGAAATCTAAATATCAGTGTGGTGTGCCTCTAGACCTACTGTTTTCTAGCAACAACTTCAGCTTTCCTATTCAACTTTCCTACAAAAATATTAGTGCTAAATAATGAGCTATGCCACAGACATGTCCATCCCTTCAGCTTTGTGTGTATCATTCAGCTTTCTGCTCTTTAAGTTTCTATTGGTTTTCATAGATTTAATTTACTATTTCCCATTACTTTATTTTTTCCCTCTTAGCTCACCATTGCTGTGTTGGTTTTTTTCAGTCTTTATCTTCAGAGGTATTTCTGTCATTCCCTGCCTTTTGTTTCTTCATTTTGTCTCCTTTCCCCTTTTCTTTTCCTCCCATTGCATTTTCTCCCACGTCCCTACTGTTCATCCACCACCCTTCACCATTCTGACTCTCATTTTGTGTGGTCACACCTTCCAGTTTTCCCTACTCACACAGCTGTGCTCAGTTGTTCTGCCTCTGCAGACCGCAATGCTCTCATCAGGTCCTTGGCATTCACTTCACAGCCACCCCTTGATCACTTGTGCACAGCCAGGCCTTACTTCTGCTGGACACAATAAAGCACTTGGCTGGGTGGTACAGATATCTAGGACTTTGAAGCCTAATTGGGTGGCACTTTTCTATCCAGAGAAATGTCATGAATGCATGTGGCTGCTCTTTTAGGTACAAGAGGGCCAAAGAAAACTCTTTATCAGAAGAGCTTAGGCCACCACTCCTTTTGGTAGATGGTGCTGTTGAATTACAGTCTGCCTTACAAAAGCACTGTCTTATGTATTAAGCACTGCAGCTGTTGAGGGTGGAGGGAAGGTACCAGTCCTGTGTGCCACCCGAGGAATTTAACCACCATCAAATTACCCAGTCCAGCTTTGTCACAAAGTCTGTTTCAGAGTGGATTTAAAATTATCACCCATATGCTAATTTTGAAACATACCTGAAATATTTATTGCAAGTGTAATTATCGCAAGTGTAATTTATTACAAGTGTAAAGTTTAATATTATGAGCAGTAACAATATTTTTTCCTGCTTTCAACTCTTCAGCCTCTCTTATTTCAATGCTTGTGGTTTATAAAGGTACAGACATGCAGTATCTGTCTTTTAGCAGCATGACATGACCCAAATTCTGAGTTGACTTGCACCATGTGCAGTTATTAAATCTAATGAGTTGTGTTATGTGAAAAATCCCTGAGCTTGCATAGAAAAGTCCCAGCACTTCTGAGTGTACAAAACAGCTGTGAAACAAAGGTTGCTGCACACTCCAGATGCTGGGTTGTGTTCTTCTCAGTGCTTTTCCCATGTAACCACAGAGCAA